CAGAGTAACATTTTTAAGGGAAGTTTTTTTTAATTTTAAAAAATGAACATTTTTAAAGGAAAAAGACAAGCAGCTGATGGTAGAGGCAACTACCTAAAAAACAAAAACAGAAACAAAAACAAAAACAAATCAGACTGAAATGTTTTTGTTTCATTTCATGGTGAGATGTTCTCAAGAATTTTCCCTGAAGTGGGATCATAGGTCATCTACCTGGCAATCAGAGAGTCCTTACACAGACTCTTAATTCTCAAGCAGAAATAGATAAACATTCTCAAATACAAGGAAGTAAAACAATAGACATAAGTTTAAAAAATGTCGAAAGAGCACTTTTAAAACACCAATGTCTACCTTAATGCAGCAACCTAACAATATTTATTGAATTTCTGTTCTTCTGTTCTACCTCCTTTTTCATTTATATATAGAGTAAAATAATAGGCATCTCACCAAGTAGACAGATTGAAAAGTGACAAAGTCTGTTTGTTCCAGAAAAGCAGTAAATCATGAAATGGGAAGGAGCTTGGTAAAGAGCCTAAGTTAGAACATTAAACTGGAAATTTTGACAAGCTGAAGTATTCAGAGCAGTCATTTCTACCCTAACCAGTGAGACAGAACTACGGTTTTATTTATGTTTAGAGTGGTAGAGAACGTGTGTGAGAATTTCACATATTCAGCATGACAAATAATATACCTGCCTAGGTGTAATTCTGGAGTGCTTATCAGACTGTTTTAGTTTTTACCTGAAACAGAAAGGCTCAAGCATTCAGGAAGACCAATTATTAGTAGTGGAGAGAAGCAGATAAAGAGTATATGAAAAGGTTTAAATAACCGGAGTTTGGAAAAGGGATGGCCTGTGTCATAAATTACCCTTGAATCATTAGCTCAAATTTTTCTAATGTTACTATGAACAAACACTCCTCATAGCTACAAAGTAAAAGCTTTGCTTAATTTGGTCAATTTATACTCTGGCCATAAGTCTATCTAAACTGAGTTTTAACAATGATATATTTAGCATGTAATAATTCTTAGGAGGAATAGACTAGAACTTCTATTACACTGTACCATAGTTTGTATAATGGAACCTAGAAACCACTTTACAGTCTATTTATTAAATATTAAAGATATGTTATTTGGAACTAATACACAGTATTCCACAGGTGATTATGATTCCCTTCCTCAACAATTCTACAGCACGCACTTAGGCAGTTTACAGACTTGGCCCTCTAGAACTATGGGCCTGGCACACTAACAGATTCAATATTTGCTGAATGATACTTGTGGGAGTACTGAACAAAACCACCCAAAAGACCTCTAATATGGGGGACTGTTTAAATAAGACAAATCTGTTCATTGTAATATTCTATTATATGCAGGCACAAAAAAGAATGGATCTGTATAGTTATATGGAAATATCTTCATGCTATTAGGGATAAAAAGCATAGAGTAACCACAGCTGGTATGAAATGCTCTCCTCGGCCCTCCCTGGTGGCAAAGGGGTTTAAAGACACAGTGCTATCAAGCTATTGTCAGCCACTGCAATAAAAGTTCAATCCCCAGCCAGGGAGGTGACCCATGTGGTGCAGCAGACCTCTCCTGACTCACCTGCTGCTCCCCTCAGCAGTGTTATATCAGTCAATCTGCCTGTTCTGCTCCTTACTCTGTTTCTGGTGACTCTTCTCACCCTCTACACCTCTGGCCTACACCCCAGTTCCTGTATGCATCATCTTTAAAAAGAAAGAAATGCTCTTATCTAAGGAAAAGACACTCACAATCATAGTCTAGGCCAGTGGTTCCCTCAGGGAATTGTTTTGGTTGCTTTAACTCAGGAATAGGTGGTGCCACTGGCAAAGGCCAGAGATGTCACTAAAAATTCTGCAATCCACCTCTAACAGAACTGTACAGTTCAAAATATCTATAGTGCTGAGGCTGAAAAACTCTTGTGTGGGCAAATTAAATGTACAGAGTAGAGGGGCACTAAGTGGTTGCCTCTTGGAAGAACAATGACAAAGTCTGGGTGAGAGAATGACTTTTCCTTTATTACTTATTCTAAATTTTATAAATCATCAAGTGTATTTTATTTTGAAATATACAAACCCCTAATCAAAGAAAGCACACTTTTATCACAAGATAAATTTACTGTGATAATGCTTCAAAATTTTTACTAAATATTTGTCTGGTTTTACTTACGTTTTCAGGCTTATCTTTAAGAAGCTGTTTTATCTTGTTTACTGCAGAAGGTGTCTGAAAAAAAAATGTTTTTAGTTCAGTCATTTATTTACTAGTGTTTAAGATTATTCCAGTCTATCTTTAAGCAAATTCTTTATAACAAACTTATGTTTCACTCTTGACAGAACATCTTGTAGTCTTTATAAACAAACATGAACTCAACCTCAAAAACTCTATTTTAAAAATATCTTTTAGCAACATCCTTTTAAGTCTTGTTTTCTGACCCAGGCAAGGACAATGCTCATTATCTCTATGGCACCATCTACTCACATTACAAGTGTACTTCTACAGGCAGCATCTATTTTGTGCTCCTATGTATGCCTAGCACCAAGGAGATTGCCTTGACACATAGAAGGTATTCAATAACCAATGAATGAATTAAGAACTACATGGCAAAAACCAACTTTAGATGTCTTTTCCTATTGATTACATTACTTCTTATTTTTTTAATTTTTTTTTTTTAAAGATTTATTTATTTTTGTGCGTACAGAACTGGGGTACAGGCCAGATGCTCAGGGGTGGTGAGAGGCTTCACTGGAGACAAAGTGGGGAACAGAACAGGCAGATCAATGAAGTACACTGCTGAGGGGAGCAGCGGGTGGGTCAGGAGAGGTCTGCCACACCATGTGGTCACCTCTGGGGCAGGCGGGGAATCGAACTCATGAGGAAGTGGCTTTAGATTCTCAGTGCTGTGCTTTAACCCGCTGCGCCACCAGGGAGGGCCTTATTTTTTTAATTTTATGTTTTGCTATTTCAACTCATCAAAATGCATACCTACAGAAGAGTATACTTTTCCTACTAGTCCCTCCAAAAGGCAACAGATTTCATATGTGGCTTAAACTTTTATTTTAGGGTACACAGATGAGTGGAACTGAGATAGTCAACTACAGAAAAAAAGAACAGGAAGGGATATTTCAGGAGAAATGCTGTTTACCAAGTTGTTCTCAAATGAGGAAAATGTCACATGAGTCAGTTGTTATCCCTACTCTCTTGGGAAGGAGGATGCCATGGACAGAATATATTCCACAGCATTCCTGGTCCACTTCTTGTCTCTAATCCACTCCTTGGCTTAAATGGGCATAAACAAGCTCTCTTTCTCAGAATTCCTGTGACCTTTAAATAAATTTGTGACAGTGTCATACACAAAGAGCTCAAGATGAAGCCAGCAATTACTTCAATGATGAGAATATCTCATAATGAAGAGCTGATGGCCTTCCTACTTTGTTTCATTAGCTCCTCCGGCTGGGAACACTGTGCTGGTCCTCCAAGTGTTTTGGTTTGACATTTTACTGGTTTGTGAATCCCCAGAGTGGGTATTATGACCTATGACTTGGTAGTAACTGTAGTCAGAACTTAAGTGGTGGTGAGGGAGCAGAACCAGTTAGATGGTCCAGAGCACATTCTTCCAGTCTGAAGGGGGTGCAACTGGATGAGATGTTGAAACAAAGTCTGGAGCCAGTTTAAAGCCTGAGACCAACTTAGAAGGTTGAGATTGGCATTTTTAAAAGCACAAAATGTAAGAGAACAATGGCCTGCACTTAATAGAGATAAAAATTTGGAAAACTTTTTACTTCAGTTATTAACATATGGGGAGTACATAGGTACATATTTATTTATTTTTTTTTTTTTAAAGATTTATTTATTTATTTGTGCATACAGAACTGGGGTACAGGCCAGAGGCTCAGGGGCGGTGAGAGGCTTCACCAGAGACAGAGTGGGGAGCAGAACAGGCAGATCTACCAAGTACACTGCTGAGGGGAGCAGCGGGCGGGTCAGGAGAGGTCTGGCTCGCCATGGGGTCTCCTCCGGGGCAGGCGGCAGGCGGGAATCGAACTCATGCGGAAGTGGCTTCAGATTCTCACTGCTGTGCTTTAACCCGCTGCGCCACCAGGGAGGGCCCATATTTATTTTTTACTGTGTGTTAAGAAAAAGATTAAAAGAAATCACAACTATTACATAGGGAAAAGGTATTTTTCCCTCTACTATGTGAGAACTAGAGCCGTGGAACAACAAAGGAAGTAGTGAGGAGGTGGAAAAGAAGAAAATGCTGAAAAGAAATAAATATGGCCTCTTTCTTTCTTGGAGACCATAGTTTGTCAATCTGTAATAATTACAGATTTATTTTTATTTATAAAACAAGTTTTCAGGGCCCTCCCTGGTGGTACAACAGGTTAAAGCTCAGCATTGTGAAGCGACCCACAGCTGCTATGACAAAAAAGTTTGATTCCCGGCCAGGGAGGTGAACCACATAGCGTGGCAGACCTCCCCTAACCTGCCTGCTGCTCCCCTCAGCAGTGTATATCATCAGTCAGCCTGTGCTGCTCTTTACTCTGTCTCTGGTGAATCCTCTGACCACCCCTGTACCTCTGGCCTGTACCCCAGTTCTGTATGCCTAAAATAAATAAATCTTAAAAAAAAAAAAGGAATAATTAATACTTAAATGAAGTACACATATCTATATAATTTCAGACAGAAGCTAAGGATCCTATTTTTCTCTAAGTCTTTGCATATGCTGGCAACTGTGCACATAAGTATAATCAATCTGGGAAACAAGTTTAAATTAATACTTCAATTAAACATTTTGTAGAGTTAACAATGTTCCAATTTTAATACATTCTCCCAAACAACTAAGAAATAAATATATATGTGCATATATGTATATATAATTAAGACCTAATTCACTTGAAATTTGGCCAATGAATCAATATATCACTTCATAAAGATGAATATTTAGGAAACCTTTTTCCTTCATTCATTATTGTTTTCTCACCATTTGGTAGAAAATACTTTGATATAAGTAAATAGACACAATTCATGAAGACTGGTCTGGTCTACACAGTGAAAGACATTCAAGGGGAAAGCAACCTGTGGCTTTATATCTACTGTCATGTGTATCACAGGAATCATTCTCTAAGTTCAAAGAATTGTGTGATTCTGGCCCTTAAAAAACAAGGCTTCCAATCTGCTTTTATTAAGACTATAGGAAAAGGTACTGTAGATGAATGCATCTTATCACTACTTCAAAGCAACTTCACCCAATGCCATATCATTTTTATTCCTTGTAGCAGAAACTTTCATTCTCAATACTTTACTTCCTTAAGTGTTCCCCAGGTAATTTTAAGTTTTTGCTGTTTAAAGAAAAAACAAACTCAAAGCTAATTCCATCATTATGTATACTAAACACTGCAAACAACTGGTCTATTTAAATTTCACCACAAAGCTGGTGAAACTTTAATGTTTAAAAGATGCCAGGTAGGTAACAGCCAACGAACAAGTTACAGTGTATCTTAGCTCATTCTTCAATAGCTATGACTGGCATTACGGTTTTTTCCTTGTCTTCATATCAGTGTGTATCTACATATACTATGATGAATGTTATGATTATACAACATATGATAAACACTACATGTCACATACATATACTATGTATGTGTTCATAATATAGTTCCCAGTACATGTGCCACATATAGATGTATACACACATGTGTATATGTAATCTGTATATATACCTTTTTGAAGTTTGTATTTTAAAATTTAACATGTTTCTCATTCGATATACAATAACAATCACCATTTAATAACTTACATGGATCATTTGAAAAAAATCTTACAATCCTGAGTTTAGGTATTAAAGATGAAGTAATTTTGCACAGGATTACTAAGTAAAGAATGAAAAACTAATGACTTCGAATTAAAAAAAAATCACTATTTACAATCATTATGTAATACCTCACCAACAAGATCTATATTCTACCTAACCAATTTCTCATTCTTAGACATTCAGACTATACTTTGTTGTATAGTCTCTCAGCTGCCAAAAATACAAATCCAATTGCTATTCACTGGTCCAAAGAAGTTGTGCTGGTTGTCCTTCAATAAATGAAAAGCTCCAGTCAATGAACTGTTTCCCAGTCCTGCTCCATCAGGTGCCATTAAGATGTTCAGCTCTAAGGCAACACAACCTTGATAAGCTTTATACATGGCTGTGGGAACACACTCTGTCTCAAATTAGGGCTGCATTATTCTGATTTGTATCATGGAAATTAAGGCATCTGGAGCAGGATAGTGTTGTCTTGGGGCTCTTTAATCCTACTTTACTCTGGTTCCTACAAGTTCAACTCCATTTATCAATTCCTGCATATGTCGGAAAGCAGGTATGGATATCTTCCAACTGTGTTCTCTGCAGGTGTCCAAGGTATTGACACTTACCTTGATGTGGTGGGTGGGAGTCTTACAGTATCCAGTTGAGGAACCATCTCTGGTTTGCATAAAAATGTCATGAGCAACCTGTCACCAGTGTTTCTGTCTTTCTCTCTAGCAAGCTGGATTTACATCAGTTAATGCAGACAATTGATGTTAACATGGAATCATGTTTTCATCAATTCCTTTTTTCCAGCCTCTTACTGACCTATCTCTGGCTGACTACATAGGTACAGTACTTTTCAAATCTTGCAACATGTCAAATACTTGATGTCAAAATTTACATTTTAACGGTTTTACTGAATTATCTCTAGTTTTTTCTGCTCTTACGCCACTCATTAACTCTGATCACTGCTCTTACACTTAACAGTTGTTAAAATGTCTGCAAAAACACTTGACTTAAACACAAAAAGCAATACATGCTATAGTGTCTGGAACACTACGAGACCTTAAGATTAAACAGCTAAGAACATCTAAGATTAAAATGACTGCAAGACTGCTACTATATGCCACTGGTAGAAAACAGCACTGATTTGCTTTTTCTCTGGCGTAAGTTTCTAATAAGATCACAAGAAAACGAACTCCTGAAGTACCAGTAGGATGAGTTAAGACAACAGATGCCTGCATGTTAGTCAGAACAGATCATCAGTGGAAATATGGAGTCCTTGTGAACTGAGAATCTACATAAGGCTATGCTGGTTGCAGAATTAGTCTCATATGAGTTTAAATGTAATAAAGCATCAAGAGCAAGCACAGAGCCCCAGGTCTGAAAGTGTGAGCTATGTTATCTCTCCTACTGAGCAGTGGCAAAGGCCTGGCCAATGATGATTTGGTGCGTGGACTGGGCCCCTGGATGGTAAGAACAGTATAACTCATTTATTTGTTGTCCTTAAATGTATGCTAAATGTGTATAAAAGGAGAGGAAGGGAATGACTCAAAACTTGTGAAGAACAGGTAAAATACCAAATGGTGACTGAAAACAAAAGGCTTCTGACTTCCTGACTGCACTACAGAGTAGATTTTTTTTGAGCTCTGAGTTACTTTTACCAGCTTGATGGGGGACACAATATATGAGTTATGGCTTCCAGTTCTTGTGATTTTAAAGACTTCAGAGAATCCTAAGATCGTTGGTGTGTGTATCTTGCAGACATGATAACCAGCTACAGAAAAATACAGAAGACAACACAATATACAATCAAGAAAACCTAAAACTGTGATATTATAAAAACACATTCGCCCACTCGGTCATGGCCTTCCTCAATTTTGCTACAACTAATTTACTGACTACATAACTTCTTAGTTATGGCCCTAAATGAAAGGAAACCCACGATTCCATTTAAATAACTACTGTCCCAGTTTCTAGGTGCTGAATCCTCGCAAAAAGGTTTCTCCTGACCAAAAGTGGGATGTGCGCTAAGATTTTTGGAGAACTATTCAATGCAATACACCTCTCTCAAAAAAGGCAAATACAAGAGACTGCTTTAAGAGATAAGGCGTTCCTTGTGGGGTGAAATGTTTCGGAAGCAGGTAGAGACGTTGAGTGCGCATGTATTGAAATTCACTGTAAAATGGTTTAATGTGGTACGAAATGTCCTTCAAGCTTTATAAAAACTACGCCGAAGACGCAGCGTGTGAGGTGAGTTCTTAAAGGTACTCTATCTGCGGCACGTACTCAGGTGCCCCTGGAATGGGCCCGACCTTTCACCCAGAAGACGCTGGGAAATCTTCTTTGTCCTTTTAAAGAACGACCCAAGCCGAGGACCCAAGCCAGGAGGCGAGTGTGTTTGTTTGGAAAAGGCACTTCCACAGGGACACCAGGAAGTGAGCTGTCGTGCGCGGCGGCCCCAACCCCAGCAAGGGGGCGGGCGGGGTGGTGGACGTGCTCTCGGTGCCTTCGCCTTCCCCAAGCCCCTCAAGGGCCTGCCAGGGTACCCCGGCAGAACCCACCTCCACAAACCTGCTGCACCGCAGGCGTCCGGAGAAGCCCCCTAGAGCAGTCGCCGCGGGTCAGAGGCCCCAGAGCACACCCCCCACCCCCTCGCTCGGTAGCGCGCGGCCCGCTGGGAAACGTAGTTCCGAGGTGCTCGGCCTGCAGGGACGCGTAGTTCCAGGGCGCGAGGCTTCCGCGCAGCGGCCCCGCCTGCACCGCTTTACCTCGACAACCTCGGCCGAGGTGGGGAAAGCCAGGGCCCTGCCGTTTGGCCGCGCAGCACTCGGTCTCCGTGACCTCCCGGTGTGGGGCGGAGGTGAGCCAATGTCATGGGCCCGGCCGCGCGCCCCGACCACTCACCAGCGTGAGGGCAGCCCGGGTGGGCTGTAGCTTCCTCTTACTCACTGCCCGGACAGTGGCCCGGACGAGCGAAGCCGACATCCTCGCCGTCCCAGAGCCCCTGGGCCTCAGGCCGGAGCTCGGCCGCTTGAGCCTCTCTCCATGGACACGGCGAGCGCTTTGACGCCACAAGCTGCGGCGCACGGCGCCCAAGGCTCCGCCCCAAGGACCCGCCCCACCGTCGCCATTGGGCGGGTCGCGTGAGTGACGAGCAGGAGGGTGGGGCGGTGCGGCCCTCCTCCCCCCGCCCCCCGCCCGCGCTCACCCCGAGCCGCGGGCGGAGACGCAGGACCTCGGAGGAGGATCGTTGCGGAATGACGGTATCCGCGCGAATGACCTTCCTCTGATGGACTCTGGAGGCTCGAAGCTTTGGAAACTGCCGCGCACCCCCCGGCAGAGCGTGGCTGCACAGTAAGGCAAAGGGTACCCGCCACCCCGCGCGGGGCCGTCTTGGAGGAACGGTTCTGAAGTCCGGGCGACTGCACACGTTACACTGCCTTTTAGGTCCACTGAGTTCTTACAGGGTAGATACCGCAGAGTCGTATATAATAAGTACCCCTAGCCCCTAAGATGGCTTGTGAGCTTGAAGGACAGTGTCTTTAGAACCCCACCCTAGCATAAGCAGCTTTATGAATGTTTGTAGCGCGTATTCACTAATAAACTTGAACATCGGTTGTCAGATGTTGCTTTGAATGCTCATGAGCTGAACCCAGCCTTTTGGTTCAGCAAATATTCCTGAACCCCAAACACTCCACTTGAGCATACAGAGGGCACCTGGTTGGTAACGGAGGGCCCATGAGGGGACAGATCCTGCTCAAGTACTGCAGGTTACAGAAGGGAAAACATCGAGGGTGACATTGCCCCTGGAAACAGGCAAGGAGAAAACAGGAAGGAGATTCTGTGAAGTGGTGCCAGGGAGATCTTGCTGTGTTTTTTGATGCATGAAGAACTGATCAATGAAGTGTTTTAAGTCTAGTGTAGGTTGATAATTCAAAATTGCTGTAAGAAGTTCGGTCTCCTTACGATTGAGATGCAATGGTAATGACAGGGAGGATGGCTACCTGCACACGGAATAAACTGAGATGCAGGGATGTGGATTTGCCTCCAGGTTTTATCTTGACTAACCAGGTTATCTGAGATAAGGGGTTTGGCCTCTTGCCCTTTCTCCCAGATATTGTGAGGTGTAGGTGAAGAGGCTACCACATGGCAGCACTCAATATTTGCTAATTGTTAGTGGTATTTAAAGATGTCATACACATCAGCTACTTTGTATGATACAATGGATACGGTAATTATACATTACTCCAAATCAGTGGAATATACCACACAAGAATGAATCCTAGTGCAAATAACACACTTTGGGCCATGTGTCCTCGTAGATTTATTGTTTAACAAATGACCCAACAGGCACATGGGTGAACAGTGGGTGAGCTTGGTACATAGGGACAAAAATTCTACTTTATACTCAATTTTGTCATGAAAACTTTCAAAAGTTTTTTAAAATAAAAAGATACCATTATTTTAAATTACTGAAGTGTTATAGTTTTGGAGTTCTTTACAGGTTTCAAAAGAACCTTGGGCACATCATTTCGCAGTAACCTCTTAACTAGAGCTGAGGAGGGCAGAAACACTGGCATACCTATTTATTGAAAACCTTAAACTCAAGCCTTCAAGTGTAGTGCTTTAGACTTATATTAAAAAAAAAAAAGTCCTAAAGTTTCTAACTCAGGATACAGTGTATATTTAACAGCATTATAATATGCACTATTCCATTAAAATCCGAGTTTTTAACTGTTAGAAACTTGGTCAACTGTTTTGAATGTAAGTACTAAGTTACCTACTTTGTTAGTGAGTGGAGTGGGCATTCTTAATGTTATTTCTAGCTGGCACAGGTCTCTGACAGTTTTCGTAACTATATATGAACTACGTGAGCTCCTTTATCTCAGAGAAGCAGCTGTGTTGTGGTTGTGAAGTGAGAGGGTGGGGAATGGCTAAAGGAGTTTGCAAGTTGTAACCACTTTGACATTTCCACTAAAATAATAGGTTAAGAATCCACCATATGAAAATGTTCAACACTGACTGAACTTCAGATCTAATTTCTGAAGTGTTTCCCTTGTGACCTTTCACTTGATCTATGATAAAACTAAAGATATCCTTGGTACTTTGCTGGAAAGCTAGCAGAGACACACCCTAATTAAGTCTAGAATCCCACTCAGTGTAAAGCACATTACTTGACTGCTGCTGCTGAACATACTTGAAAAAAAAGTACTGAGCATATCTTTAATTTTATGAAGGTTTGTTGTTTGACTTTTTTCTTGGCCTGTACCATGTTTACAACCAATTGATCTACCTATTCAGTTTTTTTCCTCTCAGAAAGACTTTAATAAATCATTTGTCAAACACATTTCAAGATGAAAAATGAATGAGAATGGTCTCAGAGCATTTTAATAACATCTAAGTGTGTATCCTGCTAATAATGCATATACTGAGCAAGACGTTTATAGCATCAGGCCTATGAAGTTGAATCTTGTATTTGTGTTTGTTCCTGAGAAAGAGGCATTTGTGAAGACTGTTAGGAGAGACCAGCTGCACTTGAAAGATAGCTACGCCCTGGGAACTGCAATCAGCTTGGAGCAGATGTGCTGTTCCCTACTTGGGATCTCAGAAAATGCTGTCACCAGCATCCAAGTAAAGGAAGTGAAGGAACATGAGCATTCTGTTCTCCAGGCCAATTATGGTCACTGCCCCGACCTCAATGATCCAGTGTGTGGGACTGAAAGCAAAAAGACCGATACAGATGACTACAAGAAAACAGAATAAAAATTATAAGGACCTTTAAGGGGTATAAGAAAACATGATTTCTATGGAAAGGAAGCAGAATGCTATGTGAGGAAAGTTAAAGGAAAATGGAAATACAATGACAAAATTTATGTGTAAAAGCAGATGACACAAAAATCAAGGCAGTAACGGGAGAGTAAAAGATATTACGGTTTGAGAGATGATTAGAGGAATATTGGGAAAAGAAAAGTATTTTTGAGAAAAAATGAGATCATAGATACTTATTCAAATTGAAAGAAGAGGAAGACATGAGATTCACACTTGTTTCAGACAAGTCACTAATACAAAAACGATTGGGGTAAATTAACATGGAAGCATCCAAGCAGGAATAAAACTACCAGGGCCTCAAACTTCTACAATCATACCAGCTAACAACAGAACAGCATCAAATGTGAAGGTATTTTATGCCCAGTCAAACTGACTTCATGCATGAAGGCAAGAGAAAAAATCAGAAGAAAAGCAGCTAAGGAAAGGCAGGGCAATTCCAACCCAGGTCGTGCAATTCGTGAGTCTGTGTCCAAATGAATAAGGAATGACCACTAATTCTACTACAACTTCCTATTCCTAAAGTTAAATTTGATATGACTTTTCTTTGGTAGGAATGTCTTCAAGTAACTTGTTTCAAGGCAATCGCCTTCTGCATCCTTCCCTGTGGCTTACCCCCTCAAGTCTTACCCCACCTTTGCCAGAGCTCCTGGCTGTGAGGGAGCACCAGTGGTCCATGAGCACAGAGAAGGAGCGGGAGCTGAAAAGGGGTCCTTACTCCTTGATCTAGTTTCCTCACGAAATTTGGGGCTCTCACTAGAAAATAATGTGGATAAAATTACAGGCTGTAATTTTTATTTTATTTCAAATGATAAACTGAGGCATAGTTGTGATCATGTACTACTTCTGAAGGGCATGTAAAGTTAGAGAAACAGTTCCCTAAGGGCTCCAGTCAGACCGGAAATGACTCCAACCAAAACCTGTGATTGGCTGTGATCACCTCTTTTAATCTTCAGGGATTTTGAAAAGTTCTCCACCCTAATTTCTGAGTATCATAAAGAGTAAAAAGCACGTTTATTTTGTCATTTTTCTTTTGAAAGGTTTAGCAGCAAACAGGACTACTTGTTTTTCTCATTTTTTTTATGAACATAGTACTTGTTAAGTCAATTTACTTAAAATTAGAGAGGGGAGGAAACCAAAAGCCCCTCCGTGGCACTGATCATCCAGAGAAGGCTGACATAAATAGGTACTCATGTTCATATTATCACTTCTACAAATATTGACAAAACGAAGTTTGTAAATGGTAAATACAGTAGTAGCAGTTCACACATATTTGATATGTTGTCATACAAGGGTTCAGTAAACAATAATAATAAATATAATTTCCCCTAATCAAAACAAAATAGGGATTTATAGGGGAAAAAAGGGTTGATTTACTTGGAGTTTATCAGCACACCATTTTTAGTGTGCTTTGAAAGCATTAAAAACCATGAAATTGTATTCACTGAATACTGGCCCATAGTTACATTTTTTTTTTAAAAAAAAACCTGTCTTATATACGTACCTCATGGCTTTCTATTAAAATCCTTAAATCCATAGGGATTGTTGGTAAGACTATGTTAATTTTTTTTTCCTTATTAACAATTTCATTAAGTTAAAAAATCTTCCCTTAAATTGAAGTTGAAGCCTGATCTATGCTGCTGTGTCCTATGAAATGAACCTAATTTTCAAAGTGAATAGAATGCCTGAGTGGCCATTTAGAGTGCTGCCATTTTGCTTCCCTCATGATTCCTGCTGGGTCCTCTTCGTTGAGGCTTTTCCCTGAGTCATATATTTACTGGAAAGGCTACCTAGAGGAGGGGAAAAAACAAAACCCAAAATAAATAAAACAAGACTCACTCAGCACAAAAGTCATAAAATTACTTCTTATGGTTCATTACCCACAGAAACTTTTCATATTGTCATTGGTCACTTATTTTAAATCAAGTAATTAGGCTAGATATAAGCAGATATGGAATATGATCTATTAGACATTAACTTAGTCACAATTTTTGAATTAGGTCAAGTTGTTAGGGTGACATCATTTTAATATTTTTGAATGTTCATTACTACCTCCTTGGTGCGGAGGGCCAGGTGAACTTTTCAAAGACCCTCTTTTGCATGGCAGTGTCTTCATTTGCAATCAAACATAACTGCAAAGATTATTTGGTCAGAAATAAAAATCCCGTATCATCACTCTGCACACATGAAGTAGTGAATGGTATCACAATAAAAGGAAATTTATTATATTTATATGTAAAGCAAAGGAATGAGGATTATTCATTAAAATCATATGGCATAAAGAGTTAATAAAGTCTGTTCTAGAGTCAAGGCAGATAGATCAATAAAAACAAGAAAACTGAGAAATTCTTAAGTGATTATATATAAGAAGGTAGTTTATAATAAAGGCTGCATTTCAAACCAATGGGTAAGTATAGATATAGTAATAACATGAAAAAAAATCAATTTATAAAACCATCATAGTATTCTCATAAAAATAAACAAATTAAAATTCCAGCAATCATGTATTTGGTGCCTCATTTATCTATAAAATGAGGTCTCTTGGAGTTAATGTAAAGATTATATGTAAAGCAACAGAAATAATACCTGGCACACAGTAAGTACTCAAAAAATACTGCTTACTATTAAATTAGTATTAAAAGACAGGAAGACGTATCTCCAAAGTCTAATGAGTAGTTAATGGCCTAGGATGGAGCCAGTACAAATTGCTTTATTTTTTTCATTTTGCTTAAGTATATTCTAAATTTTCTATAGCAAATTCATCAAGTACACAAATAAAAACTATCCTACCCCAAAACAATCTTTTCACAACATAGCATCAAAATAATCCATTCACAGTGAAGAACAAGTAATATCAGCAAGATAAAAGCACTCTGTAATAGTTATTCCATAGAGTATCTATTGGTCTATAGCAATGCAGCTTTGTTGTTCCAAACTACAAAGAATAGACTTTTTACTGAAGGGAAGAGTTTAGATCATGGGCCCCAGTCGTGGCCCATGGTGGCGCAGAGAACTATCAAGCTATCTACCAGCTACTGCGATTCCTGGCCAGGGAGCTAACACACATGGTGCAACAGACCTCTCCTGTCTTGGTCATGGCTCCCCTCAGCAGTTGTATTTCAACAGATCTGCCTGTTTTGCTCCCAGTCTCCTGTGAATCCTCTCACCCCACCACCCTGCACCATTGGAGTACACCCCAGTTCTTCTGTGCAAAAATAAATAAACCTTAAAAAAAAAATTTAGATCACTGTCATATTCAAGTCAGGTGGATTAGAGAGCTAAAAAAAGTTTTAAAGCTATTAGAAGAAAACATAGATGGATGTCTTTATGACCTTATGTTTAGGGAAGAATTCTTAAAAAGAATTCTGAAGGCCCTCCCTGGTGGCGCAGCGGGTTAAAGCACAGCACTGAGAATCTAAAGCCGCTTCTGCATGAGTTCAATTCCCACCTGCACCGGAGGTGACCACATGGTGTGGCAGATCTC